CTCATGTGTTCGTAGTGGTAAAAATAAAGCATCTTCGTGTTTCTCTTCCCCATCTTTTATCACCCCTGTCACTCGTAATACACCGATGCTTGCCACAGTCGCAGTCGGCATTTGGAAGCTTTGGAACAAGTGTTCGGGGACACGGCTGTGCCTCCGGTACTGACGGAAACCATCATCGAGACAGAACTGGCCCGCGCGCAAGATCGTACACGTCTGCCAGGGCTACAAACTAATCGTCTCCGTGCCCAGTTCATGAATCGGCTGAATAGTCTAGATCAGGCCGTTCGGGAGACGCGTAAACGTTTGACGAAAGCAGGAAACGACCAGTCGGTGCTGGAAACTAGTACCAAATACACACGGTAATTTTTGTGTTATTACTAGCCTTAACGAAAATTACCATAAGTTTATAATCCCATCTGTTAACTCCCCTCTGTTCCAGATTTTTCCGCAATCCTCATCTTTAGAATCCATCTTCTGTGTTTGCTATGTTCACTCCATCATTTTGTGATCAACAACTNCCGTTTGCTAAATGCAGTAGTTTGGCAAACATACTAACCGATTCGCCATTGGATGTACGGCTCGGTTATCGATCGAATCTACCGACATTATTAAACGTGGCAAGGGAATAACTTTTCTCTATAAAACGTAATTTGAAGCATTCTTTTGTGTAGCCTAATTGTAAAAATCACAAACCTCGGTACAATCTGTACCCGTACATTCCTCTTTTCGTAATGTCCTTTTCGCAGTCCACAGCCACTTCTGAGTGTACTTCTAAGCAAAAAGGTGGTACAAGTATTAGATCTTGCGTAACAATACACGTTACTGTGAGTTTCAGCTTTTGCATTCCGTTCTACCGTTGCGACCCCATCTGCATTTTGCTTTGTTCATTTTATCCCTTTACAATTGTGAAACCGATCACTGCCCCCACTTTACTACTGGTCACATTCCCAAGTTTCCGCAACTGGAAATCATTTTGCTTCGGTTGTCATGATCCCATGCGACCTGAAAGTGGCCATATGTCTGATATCTGACAAATTCGCTGTACAACTTTATTTTCGTGCATGACTGGGAACATTCCACGATCAAAAATGAAAATGTTGGTGTTTCGCAACAGTAAAAACGGTTTTTTGAAAATTTCTTTTATCAGTTATAACACATCTTTTCGGGATTAATGTAGGCTATATTGACTTATTCCAATCCCATGCAAGCGCTAGGATGCGATTTCTTCCTGTGATTTTGTTTGAACTCTTCCACTGCTTGACATCGAAGGAAGAGAATGGCGAGTATTTAAAGGATCGTATTATGATTCAACTGATCCGTGCTCATTCCTTGTTGAGAGATAACAGCTGTGATGTGACTGGGACTAGAATGGTGCGGCCGGTTGTTGTCACCTTAATTTTTCTTTTGTTTTTGAAGTTATTACTCTGTCCATCTCTAATCTGTTCCTATGTGGGGATATTTGACTGTGCTTTGCAGGTTGTTCATGATTAACAATGAATTCTATTTGTCGCCATTAGGTCCGAATTCAGTCCTATGAAAAAAGCGCCCGTTGGAGGTGTTGGTCGTCATCTTATTCGACCATAATGGTTTACTCGGTTCCTCGATGAATATGTATGAGTGTATGTTTCATATTAATTAGTGTATGAGTATGAATGAACTGACAAAGATAACGGGATACGAATTCCTGACGAGCGGCAAGAACTGCTAAACCGGTCGTGTGCTTCCAGGAAAATTTTATCCACTCATTCATATACTACTTCTTATGAACTATTCTCTAAAGACGCTCAATTCACGTTTGTTGCGGTCAGTAGCATATAACCCGCTTACAAAAATATCGAATCCTAGCATTGCTTCTTCAATGGACTGATTCTGAAAGAACTGTCTATCCAATAGTCACCCTGTGTTGCAAACAAGGTTATTGTGACGAAAATACATTTTCTGGGTACCAGTATCTGAATGCACGGACAAAAGAATACCGGATCCGCAAGGCTGATGAGCGGCAATAACCGCGAAGCCGGTAATGTGCTTCAAAGGAAACATTGTTCACTAATTCACACACCACTTATTATGATATATATATATATATATATATATATATATATATAACACGCCTGAATCCATACCGTGTGTCAAACGAATCACTTTATGTTAATATCTATAACTAAGACATAATTCCATGATTTTGTGAGGTGCGTGGAAGGATGATCAGTCACAACTCAAGACATCCCCGGATCTTACTGAGGTTCTCGGATGCTTTCGATGGTCATGTAAGCTGATTATGCGTTTGGTAGCTGTTGACAAATGATTTCTTTCCCAGTTTAGCTAAGTTCATTCGTTGAAACGAAGATGTAGTTCTACCCCCTTCTAACTTCTCAGTTCATATTGTGTAATACGACCATTAACTTGGGAAAGCATCGGCATTGCTATGAGTGCTGTTCTTCCGATATGACCCAAATTAGATTTCTGCGTCACCTCGAACCGGAATGTGCATTCAGCGAACATACTGACTACTCAAACGAAGTTATTTGCTTGATCATCTTTTTAAAACCTTTTAATGCTCCCAAAGTAATCCTTAATTGTCTTTTTTGATAAAAATTAGCCCCCAATTAAATGTAGGATTTTCATCTAACAACCGTTTTTGGACGATGTACTGTTTTAATAGCAAATCATAGATTGTANCATGTGAGTCTTCTGGTACTAGGGCGTGGGTACGTGTTTGTCCTGCTCACATGTCTCCATGGGGGGCTGTATGCAAGCCCTCCACTTACTGCACTCAGTACTCAAACTATGGGTTCCGAAATCAGTTTGTTAGTCCTTGTGAAACCAATCATCACGAGATGTTCATCTTGTTCCCACTACGCTATCACTCCGTTTCACATTAGGTCTCAACTTCAAGACAAACAAAATCAGCTTCGACAAATGGAGGAACGTATTCTCTCGGTTGCTGGCTCTCCTGATCTGGAACAGGTGCTCGGTCGTTTACAGCAGCGGCGCCAGGTCTTGGAAGAGTAAGTTCGAGACT